CAAGAGGAAAAAAAAAGGCACCTTACTGAGTCGTCGTTGTGCGCCTCCGAAATTGTGCGCGAAATTCGGATTGTATTCTTTCGGTTTGTTGGTTACTTTATTTCGGTGTTTAGGGTAGGGCTGGTTAGGGTATGTTAGTTAATTCTTATTTTTGCCTGATTTGAGTGATTTATTATCAAAAAAATATTATTTTAACATTTATTTTAATATTCTAAATGACTTAGGGGGGTGCAATCTGTAAGCTAGGGGGGGACGATACACCCCCTAAGCACTACCTAGAGTCTATGTGTGCACGTCCCTGAACTGACACATTTACAGATATTCAGATATTGACAATCACTACAAATCTTTAAATCCCTAGCCAGGTAAAAACCGGAACTCCCTCACCTCCGGTTCCCCCGTATCGTGGTTGGTCTGGATCAGGATCTTCCCCAGCCGGATGTCTTTGCACACGGCCATCAGAGCCTGCTCCATCGTCTCGCCTGCTCTCAGGATGGAAACGCCTGTGATCTGCACACACGAGAAAAACAAAGGTCAGTGGGATAAGAGGTCTTTGATTACTACATTAAACACATATTTTGTGAGCAGCACATCTCTTAACACATCAAAGGTTCTCCCGGCAGCTTAAAGTCATTCTAGACGTTTACATACAGCGCTAAACGAGTGCGAACATTTGGTTTCTAATAGATATGTATACACTTGGAATAAATTGTCTCAAGAGTTTAAACGTCATCACTTGCACTGAAACATTTAGACAGTCAAGCTTATGTTATTTATCATACTTTTTAAAATATACATTTGTTGGGGGATGTTTGTTGGACCGTTTACATTAAAGAGCGAGACAGGAAATGGGGAAGAGAGAGGGAAGTGTGTTGTGTGTAATTATTTAGCTACCAAGGCTTTAACTAGTTATTATAATGCTGTGAAGAAGCAGTAAATGGCGAAAATGTACCACTTAAAGGTGGGGTAGGTAATTTTGGAGAAACCAGCTCGAGTGCGAAAGAATTTGAAAATACACAGTCGGAACAAATCTGCCACTTCCTTACAGAGCCCCTCCCCCAACACACACGAACGCGCACATGACCAATGAGGGCACGAGAGAAGTTTGTGCAAAGATGGAAGGCTGACAGGCAGGTAGGCCATCCAGTTACTTTAGCCGGGCCGGCTCAGATGATTGGTCGTGCTTTTTACAGCGCCACAACTTCCATGGATTTATTTATTGTCAAAGCATTTCATGTATTCATTGCTATCGGGATGTTAAGAGCATTCCATGGAATATAACAAGTGTTTCTGAAGTTAATTACCTACCCCACCTTTAAGTACATAAAGCAGGTTGTTTTGTCACTAGGTATGAACACTGTGTGCTGAGAGGGTGAACACTATCCATGGACTTCATTTTGAAGTTTGAGTAACTTTAAAAACGAAGTATAAAAGCAGACTTACTCGTTTTCCACTCAGCCTCTTCCCCTCATACGTGCCCCCCTGAGGCGTTTCCACAGATACCGGCTGGAGAGGGAGAAAAGGGTAAAAAAGATCAACTAAACCACAAGTTCACAAAACCCACTGCCACTGAAGGCAACACTGAGATATAGCACAAGCAACTTGAAGCACTTTCAACATACAAGAAGCAAGAGTGCACTTTATTTATATTCCAACAAGCAGCATCTCAGTTGATAATCTAAACACACACGACTCACCTTGAGAGGCAGGAAGGACAGCGCGTGCTCTATCAGGAGCCTCATTAATCTCTTGGAGTAAAAGATAAACTCATCTCTGTTGGTCTCCTTGTTTCTGCACAAACACACAGAGGTCAGGAGCAAAGAGGAGGAAGGACAGTTGTAAGAACAAGCAAAGAGTTTGATCTCCTTTAGGAACTTTAGATCAGGATATCTGGAGCTCTGCTGCTGCTTATTGTCGTGTCAAATTATCATATAATCATTTAACACATAGTCTCATACTCTGATTGCCTTTTACTCTGTTCAATTGTATTTGTAGTCTTGTATGTGTTTAACAGAGACATGTGTTAAGGATTTACATTTCAGGAGGGCAAAGGAAGTAAAAGGTGGATTTGCAAATGTTAAGGACGACGGGGTTTAATGGTTTGATTATGGGATGTTTCCTTTCATGAATATATATAGAGACTGGAAGCAGTACTTCTCTATCCTCTGAGGATGGAGTAGCTCTGTTCCTGCATTTCAGATGGATTTCACTTGTATATGGACTTTCTTTATTAAATATAGCAAAAGACAAACTTCGTCCATTAATCATTTATCAGTTTCTTTTTAGAATTTCCTCCACACTTTAATTGAACCATTCATTTAAATATCTGTTTATGTGCAACACTGGATCGTTTAACTACCTTTTAAGCATCAAGAAAAGTCAAAAGTTCAGTTTGAAGCTGTTTTAGATAATAATAATAATAATAATAATAATAACAACAACAACAAATGTTATTGTTATAGCGCTTTTCCTGGTGCTCAAAGACGCTTTACATAAACTCAAACAGAAACAGAACTGTCGTGGATCCGATGTAACACTCACAACGTTAAAGAATAAGACAGAGGAATCAATAAAACAAAGATGGCTGAAGTCAAATCTGATATTGCTGTCCAGCACTATAAGAGACACATCACCTTGCACCAAAGCAGTCAATGTGTACTTTCCATAGAGTCGAAGGGAATCTCAGAGCTTATATATCCACCTCAAAGTGCATGCGTAGTTGACCTCTGACCTGACACAATATTGTATTGCATTTTCTGTCCTTTCGGTCTTTAAATAATCCCAGTGAATGCCAATGGAGACAACTGTTGGTCATAGAAATAGATCGGCCTCTTTCCTCGAAACTAAATGAGTAACCCACTAGTACGTCTTGAAACTAGGGCTGCTCGATGATGGCAAAAATCATAATCTCGATTATTTGGGTTAATAATTGATATCACGATTATTAAAAACGATTATCCATTTACTTTCAAATCAATTTATTGGAGAAAAAAATGTGAACAGTATATTTTTTAAAGTTGATTACACTGAACTTTAAGTATAACTCAACTGAAAAACCAATAATAAAAAAAAATAAAATAAAAAAATAGATTACATTTTTTTTTTATAAATCGTTTTATTTCGATTACGTTGTTTTCGTAATCGTTGCAAGCCATAATCGTAATTGCGATTCAAATACGATGAGTGGAGCAGCCCTACTTGAAACCGGGATAGACTGTATAAAAACACATTATTATATAAAAGATATTTTTTAAGGTGATTGAAGATGTTCCCTGCGCTCTGACCTGATGATGGTGTGCATGCCGCGGACCTGAGGCGTGCTCTCCATCACGCTGAGGGTTGTGGGTAACGGCTGACCCTGGTGAGCCGAGGCGAGCGCCGATCTGTGACAAAAATCAAATGGTGAGACTGACATACAGAAATGATCTGAAATAGTACAAGCATTATATTTAAGACTTCCCTGGCGCTAAAAGGTTTTCTTAAATCAAATATCATCCTGGCTTTGTGTGCGAAAATAATCAACCTTCAAAAATATCGTTTCTTTATGCTCTCTTTAAGGTAAAGAACATATCGACTTAAACCTTATTTTGAAGGCCAGTATTGATGTTAACTCTTTTGATCGCTGACGTTTCCAGTTGCAATTATTAGCTTTCAAAATGTGCATACTTAAAATCTGACTTTCTTCTTGTGGTTATCTAAAAACTATATTTTCCAGGGACGAACAAGGATTTAGGTAGTGACGTCAGAACCCAGAGAATTAAAACGGGCTGATATACTAATTGTACCATCACGAAAAACACAAGAAAATCACACTAATGCAGAATCTTGATTTCAATATTGATAACAAATGATTGTGGATATCAGTTTGGCCATCAGCCCTAGCTTTAACGTCAAACAATGGAAAGATAAGATAGCAGATTGAGCAGAAACTAGATGAATAGTTTAATATATAATCTACTGCAAGTGTTTAAATGCCTACAGCCCACTACGGTAATACACACTCATGCAGGCAGATCATACAAAGTAAATGGGGCTGGATTTACAAACAAAACATTTGACTCCGAATAAAGTTCATCCCCATCTTAAAGCAAGACTCAGTGGACCAACTTATTCTCTAACATTGTTATAAAAAGTTGATTGTATGTCATGTTAACAGTGTGTGTGTGTGTCATCAACTTCCGCCAACAAAATGCAAATCAAGAAATGCAACTCCAAAAATAAGCAAATTGTCAAATCCAATTTTTAAAACCACACATGCTTGCGATGTTAAAGAGCGATGAGCAAGCTGGAAAGTCAATTTCACATGCTCTATTCCTTCAGTAAAGCATGCTTCTGCAACTTCAGCGTGTCATGAACGGCTTCAAACAAGCATGTTGGCTTTTCTATGGTGCCGGTGTTTGATCAGCTCGATGTGCAAAGCTTATTTAAAACAAGTTGCAAAAAGCCAGAACGCATCAAATGGACTAAAGTGTGCTTTAAAAACCACATCACTAAAGGAGGGTGCACGAGCTGAGCCTCACATATCCCAGCGCAGCTTCCTCTGAAGAACGAGACATGTTTTCATTTGGTGACATTTAGAGATGAAGAAGCAGAAAGAGACGGGAAGAAAAAGGACAAAAAGAGAGACAAATATAAAAGGAGAGAAGAAGAGAAAGCATTAGAGCAGAGGAACAGCTCCACTTCATCAGCTCAGGGCCGAGGACACGGAATTCTATTTGTCCTCAAAGAGGGTTCATTTCAGGAGACTCAATGTATGCCCACTCTTAGCAGGACGCTTTAGAGAGTGAGAATACACATCAGCGGCGTTTACTGCCCAGGGGAGAACACTGCAACCCACTTATAGCTGGCTTTGCTCCTGCACACTTCCCAAATGACCCGAGGGCTCCTCCCCTTGTGTTTTTTTGTGCATCTTAAACGCATCAGAAGAGCATATGTTAGCATTTTCTTAAAATTCTGTTCTGCTCAGAAAAGGCTGAATTACGCCGAGTTGATCTTCGTCATCTTGCTTTGATTCGTGTTCGACCGTAGGTGTCATTTTAAAAAAGGTAAATGGTATCAATATACCAATACGTTTTCTTGACTTGTAGACACACACGGTGTTAAACAAGTCTGCGTTGGCCTGGTTGTTAGTTTGTTTGGACATGTGAACATGGCCTGTGGAGCATGGTAGATCCATCCAGCAGAATGAATGGATTATTGGAGAGTATATATGAATGGACAGTAGGGTTTTAAAAGTGATGAAAGCCTTTGCTAATGTAAAAGTATTTATCTTAAAAGCTGCCACTAGATATATTCAACCATAGCTTTCTTTGCTCTATGTCAACTCTGAGGGAATTGTCTCGCTCTCTAGATTTTACATTTGAGATTTTAAGACTTTTTAAGCGACTTGAAATTCAACCTGAAATCTGTTTTACATGCAACTTGCATTAAGCGTGACAGCAATGGGAGAGGCTTTTGTAAAATGAGTTTTTTAAAGCGTTCTGTAGGAGCTTTATTTATTTTTTAAATGTCGACCGGTACTTTGTGTGCTGTTTGGTGGAGAGCAGGTGGTGCACTGGAGGTTTATAAGAGCTTTTAAAACAGCTGCCTCCTGCTGTTGGAAATAAAGTTGAATGAACCTCATTATAAAAAGGAGCTTAAAGAAACGAATCATCCCATAGTAAATGAAGGAGTAGGGCTGAACGATTTAAAAAAAAAAAAAAAACGTTTATAATAATAATAAATCATTATTATTGTCATTATTTGTTATTAGTATTTGTATTAATATTATTATTATTATTATTATTATTATTATTATTATTTTTTTTACATTATTATTATTTTTGTTCTTGTTGTGTGTCAGTCATCCACACCAATGAGAAGTGCTGTGCTCCACATGTATCTGCGATTGTTAACCAATCAGAAGTGGCCCATGATAGAAGGTGATAGACAGATTGATCCAATCACCTGCCAAGTATTTTTGAAATACTTTTCCAAATGGCTTCCAATATGGTTTGGTGAAACCATCTGAGTCAGGTTAGTAATGCTCCATCACATGTTTCTATTACAGGGTGAATCTTAAACTGAAGCTTGACTTTAAAGCAACCCAACGGAGGTTTCATGTAAGTTTAGTTCTTTCACTCGTAGCTCGGGCTGCGGGGGTGCTAGAGACGGGAGCACGTTGATGCGACCTTCCTAGCCGGAGATATGGCCGCATTTTACAATAAACTTCCGTTGGATCGCTTAAAAACAAATATCGCAAATCGAATGATTGCCACAAATCGTTCAGCCCTAGGCGTGATGACGTTTAGTCGTCTCACTTAGACACTTGTTAGCAACCGCCATTTTTTTATTCACCAGTGGGGTATTTACTGACGTATGTCTGGCGTGA